TCATCGACAAGAACGGCCAATATCTAATTGAATAAAGTTATATTTTTAAACAAAAATTCCGAATTTGCCTTCTTATTTGAAATCGACAATGACTTAGTTGCCAACCCAATAACTTGTCTTTAATGTTTTCAATCGTCTTCGTGACTTAAAAGAATTATTTTTGAAATTTATTGCCTCCCAATGAGACTTATTTGAGCTTGGTTTAATCAAACTATATTTTCAATGAAATGCATAAATGGGAGAAATTGACAGAATCATAAAAAAATATTATTATGTTCAATTTTGATTTGCCGTATTTTTTGTGCAGAAAGGATTATCAAATTTTGATACAAATAACTTCCTTAGTTAACGCTAACTAGTAACTTTTCTGAATGAAGCAAATTTATGTTCTACTTCGGGTAATTGATCGAAAGAAATACATTACCGCCCCCAGCACCTGGGTTCAGTGCTGTCATATTTGTCTTAGACACTCCACATTTACCCCTTCAAAGTCTCGAAGTGCATTTTTATGACCACTATATCGTCAAAGTCTTTGCGAAAAAATTAACTGACTTGAAAAAATCAATAAACTACTAAAAGTCAAACGTGGTTGCGATAACAGCAAAGACAAAATGTGTAACAAGCCTACAATCTGTAAATTCTTCGACTGTTAAATATTTAATGGCTAAATAAAAGCAGCCTTGCGTAACGTTGGCTCAGTCATGGTCGAATTAATGATCCTGTGTACTAAGTTAATATGATGAAAAAATTACAGACACCTCTGATCTCTTTTTTCCGAAATGCGTGGGTTCAAATTACGGCTCCCACGAGAAACATTAATTCCACATGGGTTCCGAAAATCGTGGCACTGGCTACATAGAATAAGCCGATTTGTGTTCATCATTACAATTTTGCTGCCAATACAAAATGATTAATTGAGCCATTCACTTATCATTTATATGCAAATTATAGGATTTTTGCGTTAATAAAGCGATATTGAACCAAATGTCTCTTAATTTGCATAACTAGATGGTTAAATTGGAAAGCTATGGGCGCTAAGGTGCTAAGAAAAGTATTTCTATGATATTTGAATATGGATGGAACTTGGAAGCTACATCAAAATGGAAAAAAGAATGAAGCTCGCGTGAAATATAACTCGCTCTGTTCCCTTTAAAATAATCCATTTGGTTAACGACGTCATTAGGGCTTCTATGATAGGGCATTACCAAATGCATCATCCTCATTGGTTAATAGGGTTTTTTGGAAAAAGGTCACAAAATTCTGGACCGAAAAGAACGCAAAAGATCATGTACTAAAACATACTAACGCATTACTGACTTTCATATCGCTTGTTGAATTAATTCGGTGCATCAAGATTTTTGGACTAAATACTGATCGCTGCGGAATTATTGGCAATGACCGCGCTGACACTTTTTAAGAAGACCATAATTTTGTCAGGCATAGACCATCCGATGTCTTTCCACAAAACGAAGATCTTAATAAGGAGAGAATTCAAGACTTTAAGAAGTAACAAACTTATAGCTCGAACAAAGGAGAAGCAGTGCAAGGTGGACTGGCCAAGAATAGAAGCTGTTGTTGAGTTTAGAATGTGTACCGGAGACAATTGCCTGACGAAACACCTTTACAGATTGTGCGTAAACGCTCAACCAACATGCCCCCTAAGTGGCATACAGAAGGAAATGGAGAAGACCCACCTGATTCAGCGTCTAGTCACAAATACAAAGGCAGAAACCCAGAGATACTGGGAAACCAGAAGTCAACTAATTAACTACCGTTAAATGTCCTAAAGCCCACATGCAGGGTGTCCAAAAATGTATACGCATTGAAATTAATTGTAACCATGGCGCTTAATTATAATTTTATTATTTAAAAACGTCGAAAAATTTGCAAGCTTAATTTTATCGTTTTCGTTACTTGTCCTCAAAATGACGTCCATTTCGATCCAGGTACTACTGACAGCGCCAGCCAATGAAATCGCACACATCATGAAATAATTCCCTTGGAATTCAGACCCATTCAAGATGAATGACTTCTCTTAATTCAGTGACTGTTGCAGATTTCATAGCGTAGACTTTGTCTTTTAAGTATCCCCATAAGAAAAAATCTAGTGATGTGAGGTCTGACAAACAGGGAGGAGATTCAACAAAACCTCTTCGTTCAATCTACCAGTTTGGCAAGACCTCATCAAGGAATGACTTAACATCGCGATGGTTACGTAGGGGTGCCCCCGTCTTGTTGAAAATAAAACTCTTCTTCTTCAAAGCCTTCTCTAATGCTTGTCATAAACAGACTGCTGCAGAACGTTCAAGTAAATGGGACCGATTAAAGTACTATTATTTTAAGTTTATACATTTTTGGCATTTGTTATAAATAGATATTGATCACTAAGCATTTCAAAGATTGTCGTTGATCTTAATGCAAGCATAGTAAAGTGGGAAAAGTTGAAATTAGAGGATGCAACTAGATTTTAAACAAAAATTTAGTAAATATCGTATGCTGAAATCTCTTTTCTATCTCATTCATTTGCCATACTTGAAGTGAGAAGTCAACTGCGAAGCCTGAAGTCAACTAAAGGGCTAATGATAACCATCAAGACGAACTGAAGTCAGCTAAATGGCTAATGATAACTATCAAAACGCCTCCAAGTCAACTAAAGGGCTAATGATAACCATCAAGACGCCTGAAATTTGATATAAATAAATTTGCCATACTTAACTTGCCATTTAGCATGTCCATTTGTAGCACTTTCAATCTCAAATTTACTTCTCCAACTATTGATGAATTTTTCGAATCTATTTTCTCCATAATTTCTCCTGTTAGAAATAGAGCACTTGAATATTTTTAGTCCAAGGAATGAAACTGACTTTAAAGCTAGAATTTGACCCCAGGGCCTCAAGCCTTACTCACAGCTTCATGTTTTAACATTTTCCATGAATCGTTCCTACTTCTAGGGTGTGTGTGCAGTGAATATTAACTGGTTAATTAACGTGACTATTAGCAATTGAGAAGAGCTAACGCGTTCCAGCACGGAAGGACTCATTTGAATTCACTCAAGATGGAGACTAATAAACCCTGTCTTTAGTGTATTCATGATATGCTTCACCATAGTCCAAATGCATATAGCGAACCCATTTCCAAGAAGCCATGTTTCTTCCAGAGTTGATATTTTTGAAGGAATGCTGAAGACAGTTCTTCAGTATTCAAATTGAGCAAAATGTGCGTTACCTTCTAAATTTATTCGATATACATACTTAATTCACATCATTTGCAACAAATGTAGTAGGATAAAGGGAGAGACAAGGAAGCCAGACAGAGTCAAATATACTTAGGAAGTCGGAGATGTTAAAAAATAGGAGGCATTAGATTTTGTTACGGCCACGCAGATGATCATACACTTTTTTTAAATAAATAAGTTGCATTGGTATATGGGCAAGTTTAGAGAAGAGTATGGGATTAAAATATACCACCGAGGTATAATGTCTTGTCTCAACCAAACTCTCCAGCCGCATATTTAGCTGGATCGCAGAAACTTGTCGACACTATTCGACCATTGTACTTTCTACCTCCTAAAGCTAAACCGGCTGCCTGAGCTTGTTGCACATTGGCAAACTCGACGAAAATTTTACAGGAGTTTGTGAGTGGATAAACGCCTGATTTGGGTTGAGGCAAGTGAATTGAGACGACGGCTCCATGTCGGCGACATTCCGTTCGGACATCCTCCAAAACCTCGGCATAATCTTCTGGGGTATCGATGTCTTTTGGAGACACCATATTGGCAAGACAAAGAATTTTAGATGGTGTGTTAATCTGGGAATTGGGAATTAATGAAGAAGAGTTAGAAGCCTGGTTGCTGAGCAAAGACGATAGAGAAGTTGGAGGGGGCGCTGTTAAAAGGTAATCTGCCCGAATGGCAAAGAACTTTCCTCCACCAGCTGGGTGGTTCTGAAGACCCAGACAAGCTAAATCGGCGCTTTCTGAGGCAATGTATTCGAAGAAACCACACCCTTTTGACATTGCTGTTACTGGGTCCTGAAAAGCAAGTAAACTAGGATTATTGTTTAAGAATTATTCAAGGTTAAAATCACAATTACTATCCCTCGAAGCAATATCTATTGTTCGCCAATAACCCTCTCCTAGATACCAAAACTATTTATTTTCCAGAATTAAATCTGGTACTTTCTGACTGCATAGCCTTATTTTCATTTGCCGGAGTAATTATGGACTTCCGATCGTAACAGCTTTATCCCCCATAATTGGAAGCAAGAAAGTGTACTTTTATGATTAAATTCTACGGCTAAATGGTAAAAATTTCAAGCCTCATTTATTAAGCGTGGAGGATTAGTGTCATTTAATTCACAAAGGTGAGAACCTAGGACTTATAAGTGAAGTTGGTTATTCCCCACAATGTCATGGCAACTAAATTTGCAGACGCGTTAGTTAGCCGTAGTCCACAAACTAAATGAACACTTTACAGGCGTCAATCTCGTAGAATAGACACAAAATGTGGTTCTGTCAGTCATATACCGGATGTTTGTCCATTTTGGACAATCATATTATGAAGATATTTATGGCAAACGAAAGTAAATTAGAAAAAAACAAATAATATTGAGATAGCAATAAAATAAAAATTTTGTCCTAATCCTTGGTGGGCAATTAAAAAATACTAAAAAAACGCTTCAGAACATGCGAATTTCATCCAAAGCTAAGTCCTTACATCGAAGTGAGGGTTGGATATATGGATCATTGGAGCAGTCCAGCGTAAATTTAGGAATTGAGAAGTATTTTGTGATCCTTGAATTTTAGGCTGTCCAACTACTTGCTGAATGAAGTCATGTTCCCAGAGTCTAGAGTTTATTAGCCAGTTGACTAATTTAAAACTTCAAAGACTGCTCCAGATGCATTCTATACCGACTAGTGGAATGAACACACAGGAAACCACTATCTCTCTCTCTCATTTCTCTCCCATTTCTTTTAATATAAATAGCCATTCCAATCAAAGTGATTGAGGCCTTTGTAAAAGAGTAGGGCATATCCAGGAGAGCTTGGCTCTACCCTGTTTATTGTCGCTAATTGCTGGTAAACTATAAGATGGCAACGCACGAATGCCACGCTAATCATCACTGGCCAATAAATCAGTGGTGAGTCGGCTTCGGCGGGGAGATCGTAGTTTTCCTGTGAGCGGTGCGTGGATCGAGCTAAATTTTTATTATTTTTAGATGGGCTAAAATTTCGCCCTAATGCTCGAACTATGCTTTAGAACATTCAAGATTCTAAAATTAGCGAACAAAATTCAAGTCAAATTAACAATTGCCCGTCGTATAATACAGTCAAATGAGCTAAGATAAAATTTTTCAGCTGAATTCAATGCAGTCAATGTTCGCTGATAACGGCTCCACGCTCCACTGATTTCAGTTATTAACTCGGCGCATTAGAAAACTTCGAGTTGGTCGGTAAAAAAGTGGATTTGAAACGGCGTTCTTGAAAAATCATTACAAACGTCCCCCCAATTGTTTTTCCAACTATTCTTCAATGGAAATTGACTTCCCATTATCAAAGAAGTGCAATTATTTTCAATGAAGACTAACTTTGTTATATTTGTAATATTTATGGCTACAAACTTTATGGCCAATCCGAGTTAGAGTTATAAAATAATTATTAAAATCGAGGAGATAAGTTACCTCATTATCTTTTAATTGAGATGATTGGGGCATGGTATTCCCAAGACACATCTTATGACATGATTAATTTGAAGTTAATTGATTTCTAACCAGTATGGACTTTATTTTTTTTGTAGAGGAAATAAGGAAGATAGATTTTTCTAAATTCTCGGACCACCCATCACTAATCTGTGCTTCAAATTTGGGAATATTTTGCCATTAGCTAAGATGTAGGACAGAACCATTCATGCCATAAGTGTTGCATAATTCATGGCAATACTTAGTAAAATTCGATTGGTGAGCAAAACTCGCAGAAGACTACAGAGAACTTCATTCATAAAGGAGGATAATATCACTTTGAAATCAATGGTGGATTGAGAAATTGATTACTATCTAGTGGTCGTCAATGAAGCAGTTTCCAATACTATAATCGATGTTCAGATCGAAATGTGCAGTTAGCCATTATTTGGTCAATGTAAGTGTAATAAAAGACCGCATACAATCTTATCCATCTTTCTGAAGCTACCTCATCTCTGCTGTGCTAAAACGGCAAGTGGTTTAACCAGTTAGCTTCCACAATCATACTACACATCGTGAACAAGCACTTACCTTAATTAAGAGAATTAATCATAGAAATAGAGTTAGCAAATGCTGTAAAACGAACGTAAAAATTAAATTAATTAAAAACTCCATCATCTAGATGTAATTTTCAGATTTTTGACCTCCTCTCCTTTGTCGTTAATTGGATTTTCTATTACCCGATTTCGGTAATTTCCCATAATTAAAATTGTAATTTAATTATTATAGTAGATAATAACAAAAAAATTGACCACATTCACAGAATCTCGAGCAATAGAAACTAGGCTTTTACAGTGATGAAAATGGCCTTAAACTTATATAATTTGAAGTATAAGCCCCCTTGATGTCAAACAGAAGTTTTAACTTGTCAAATAAGTATTCGCAATGCATTATCTTCTTTTTTCGATGGTCAGCCAACTTTTAGAATTTCTACCTTTCGCTGTCCGAATCTCATTTTAAATGTCAGCAATTGTTGAAAATTTTCTAGATGGAGTGAAATAAATCAATGTTGCCGAGTGGGTGGATCACAGAGTAGAATATTTATTATACGACGCAAAAAAAACACTGCGCTGTAGTTTTCTCCCTGGATGCACCCGACTGATTTGCAGTTAAGTAACGAGAGCAAGAGGCTGGTATTTTCAAGCAAGTAGCAAGAGAGAAGACCTTTTATTGCCAGTGTAAAGCTCGACCATAAAATATTAATCAGCGTTGAGCAAGATAAAATCCACTCCAATACTAGCTTCAGTTTTGACTATCAATTGATTCAAATGGAAAGAGAGGAAGGGGGCAAAGGAACATATTCAAATATGGTTTCCGTGCACAATTTATCGAACCGCATGAACAGCGTTTTATCGATTATTGATATTTTAAAACACCCCACACTCTGTTAAGGTGTTCCCATACTTTGTCACTAAAACACAATCCATATATGATATCGGAGCCTCCATATTGGATTGCTTTTCAATATCATTTTTGTTAATGACTTAAAATTGCCCTCACAATCCTCCGCTTAATGCCAGCTTTAGTTTGATAGCGCAGCTTTATGTGACTCGTTTTAGTGCCTCCATTGAGAGGATTCGCCCCATTCTTTATGGCCTTCCCTGGTCAGTATACACCCCGATATCTATGACGTCAAAACGATGGTTGTTTTAAATTACGGCCCAAACTTTGGATAAAGGACAATATCCTCTATCACGTATCATTGACAAAACAAAGATGTCGTAAATTTCCATGTTGAATTTTTCATTTAGCAATATATCAAAACAAAAGAAATAAAATTTTTGAATAATAAAAAGTAACTAAATCTGTAAGTTTAACTTAAAAAGGCGAGGAAGAAAAGGGTAGAATAATAAGGAGTCGAGAAAAATTTACGTCATCCAAATTCCAATCCAGTTTAGTTTTAAATTTAACGTTTCGCAACCACGTATTTGTTTGTTGCGACTGAAATGAATTTCCTTAAAAACTTGTTGATTTAGCTTTGATAAAATATTTAGAGGCTGAAGAAATCTAGGTAGTTCATAGAGGATTCTATTGTCAACTTTATTGGGAAAAGATCACAAATGATTAATTTGATGCTATCGTTATACGTTAGGAAATGGCTGCGAGATATAGTTTTTATATGTTTCAGGATTCGTAATTTTATTTTACTCTGAAGGATGATAATTAACCTTGAAAAAAAGAAGAAAATGACTTCAACTAACCACAAAAAATTGGATATCAGGTGCCAGTGACTGCCAGAAATGCTCCATGAAACAGAACCATCGATACTAGTATAATCAAAATTACCCTGGCTACTTGTAAAATTTGTTGTCGATCGATAACGGAAACACAGAAGAAGATATAGACAATACTATATCTGGTAGATCTCTACAAGCATTAAGCAGGGAAAGTCTAACAAGAATACATTGGATCATGTCATATTACCGACAACCAACTTCCATATAGTTTTATATGTAGAAAAACGTCTTATTTAAGGAAGAAAGTTATACATTAAATATGCCTATGATTTTTTACGTCTGAACAATGGCGATGATTTTTGAGCAAGGGTTTCTGAAGTCTAGCTCATTTACTTTGCTTAAATAGGTTGGAAGTTTTCACATAACAAACCGCATTGTCTTTAAATTTATACAGTCTTGTGAAACAACCCGAAAAAATTTAACGCAAAGGATTTTCAAGAATTTTTTGTCTCATAAAGAAGTTCCTAAAATTTGGCTTTTAACTTTATTCCCATGGGAAGTGAATTAGGGAAAACGTTGTCACTTAATTTGCGCAGAGATGTAAATGGTCATTTTTGAAGTTTCTTTTGGTGTGGATCTTTCAATATTTGCCCGCAGGAAAGCAAAGAAATGGGATAATGTCAAGATCGAGCTCAATTAGAAGTGATTCAGAAGTGAGACGGTTTAATTGTAACATGTTGCATAGGAACGTCTTCAAATGTGAACATTTTTCTACAATCAGGGGCACAGAAAGTACCAATTTTATCCACAGAGTTGACTATAAAAATAGTTAAGAAAGTGCCCATTAAATGATGACTCCAATCCTACGATAACCTTAACTTGTACCAACAATATATATATATATATATATATATATATATATATATATATATATATANATTTTTTATAACTTGTTACTGGAATAATTGAACACTATCTTGATTTGCCTTCAGCAGTCTTAAATCGTTGACTTCCAATTACGTTTCATTTAGAAGGTTCGGGTGATATATGAATCGATTGATGTACCCAATGCCAAGAGGAGCATGACGTGGTCAAATACAAA